TGTAAATTATATATAATAAATGTATAATTTTTATGTGTAAATATAATTATACATAGGAGATCTCCCTTTCCTTACGGAGGCGTGGTCTCGTCCCGCTAACAAAGTCAGCTGTTGGAAAGATTGGTTGTCCATGCGGGGAGATCTGACACCTCGTCTGGAGCCCATCCTGTCTGGACAAAACATGACAGACCTCTGGACCAATGCCTGCAGGCTGCGGCCGCAGGAGGCGGAGCTTCGTGAGTCTGTGTGGCGGGGGGGGCGTGAGGTTCTCTCGTGAGTCTGTGTGGCGGGTGTGCAGTGAGTTTCTCTCCCGGCCTCTTACGATCGGAATGGGAGTGAGGATGTTTAACTTGGATCCGTACTCGCGGCCGCTCACCATTCACGTGTTGGGAGCCGCTCACAACGAGACCCTGGGAGCCAGAACCACAGACATGGACGAGCTTGGTCGCATGTTCCCGGGGCACCAGGGGCTGGAGGTGGTGATGGTGGGGCCCGAGGTGGTCCAGGGGCCCATCATGAGGCCCCCGCTGAGAGCATTCGGACCCCGGGGAAAAGTTTACATCAGCGCTTACAAGGGCCTCTATCATCAGTTCTGGGAGGAAGCTGTGGAGAAAGGAGAAGCAGCCAAACCTGATCTAGTGCTTGGATTTCATCCAGGTACAAACAACCCACCGTAAAACATTCATACCTGAGTATAAAGTTTGGAGTTGAAGATTTAGATTTTTATGCTCAACAAGGCTGCACGTATTTAATCAAAAATACAGTAAAATAGTAAATATTATTGTACATTTAAAATAACTATCTTCTATGTAAATATATTTTAAAATGTAATTTATTGCTGTGATCAAAGCTGGATTTTCAGCATCATTACTCCAGTCTTCAGTGTCACATGATCTTCAGAAATCATTTTAATATGCTGATTTGCTGCTCAAGAAACATTTCTGATTATTATCAGTGTTGAAAACAGTTTCTTTAAAAAAAAAGCCCACTGCAAACCTTTGAGCGGTCGTGTACTTATAGTGTCCGCTTATATATAATTTTATGAGATTTAGTATAATCAGAGCAGCATTTGTGTTCTTCCTAAACAACAAGGACTTCCATCTGGGTTACAGCATCAAACTGTGATTCATAATAAAACTAAATATGCCTAATAAAACTAAAAGCACTGATTCTACTGATTATACATTTTAAATATATGTTGAAATTGAGCTCTCATTGATTATGAACTTTATTTGCAGGATTTGAGGGACAGGAAGTGAATCAGGATTGGTTAGCGACACTCCTGCTGCTACGAGATTACAATATCCCGACTTTATTCACCATGATCAAGTATGTTATACATATATGGACAAATACAAGTTCACACATGATACACAGAACACTACATATGTGACCCTGGACCACAAAACCAGTCATAAGGGTCAA